GATGCAATCCCATCCCACAAATTCCAACAAATTCCCACTCCCACTGAAAATTACCTGGGAACTAAAGATTTTATCAGTGGAAAGAGAAAAAGAAGAGCTGCAATAACAAACTTGGGCCGTGTGGTTAAAGTACAATTAAAAGCTTAGGCAATAACCAGCTAATTGTGGGGATTCACGGGATTTTTTTCTCTCAGGAGCTATTTCTGAGGAGGAGCCGCTCTGAATTGCTGGCACAGCCACAGAAAACAGATTTAGCAATTCAAATACTTAAAAACAAAGGGGAGAACAAGCCACAAACTGAAATATGAACACGAGAGGTTCCTTTAGACATTTTCCTCAGCTGAAATGCTCTTGAAAATTCAGTGTACAGAGGCTTTCAGCAGCTCCATCCCCAAAASTAACTGAGGACAATTCCCAATATTCCTCTTCCCAGTTTTGTTACGGAGCTGAATGCAGGCTGGAAACTCATTTTTATTTTTAAAAGTTATTATTAACACAAAATATTCAACATTTCACAGTAGTTTGATGGAAGGAACAGTCTCATTCTCCTGGAAATCCAACAGAATTCGCTTCTCTGGATCTCTAAATTAAACTTTTGAGGGCTCAGGCAAGAGGCTCAGCAAAGGCTGATGCAGAATTTTAGGGAATAACACAAAGATAACACAACCTGGAACTTCACCTTTGAGAGGAAAATGGATGGATAATTAAAATAAACACRTGGATAATTAAAAATAAATAAATCAATAATTTCTCATGGATAATTAAAAATAAATAARCAAATAATTCAATGCAGGCTGTGCGTTCTGCAAGCACCAAACTAAAGAAATTACTCCTTCAGCAGCAGAGAATGGAGATATTCTACAACTGTGCCTACACTGAACTGCCTTTTATCTTTTAGATAAAGGAAAAAGTGGCACTTGGGACTTTATAATTCTACTGCTGGAATCCTGTAAAATCCATCTCCAGGGGTTGTAGGGGAATCCTATAAAATCCATCTCCAGGGCAGAACACGAATCCCCAGGTGGGGTTATGCACCTATCCCTGCTCCTACAGGGATGAGACCCAAGCTGCCTGTGGATGTTGGAACCTTTTTTTGGGGGTTTTGACACATTTGTTCTGTTACATTTGTCTTTTTTTGGGGGGAAATTGAGCTTGGAGAGTGGAATGAAGAGCACAGGCTCTGAATAACCAACACAGGAACGTGCTGGGAGCCTTTGGGAGCGATGGAAAGCCCAGCCCAGGTGGGAGCTGAGGGGTTCCTGCTGCAGGGATCGTGTCCTGAGCTCAGTGGGACAGGGAAGCAAACTYCCAAGGCAATCCCAGACCTTTGATCTGTGCAGAGAGAGGCCAAAGTCTGGAAAACTGCATCAGGAAATGCCCCTGTGTCAGCATGATAAGGCAAAAGAGCTGCCCAAGGAYTGAGAGCTGCTTCTTGTGACCACCACAGGCAAGAAAAAAAAAAAAGTTTTTATCCCAGGGGTGGGAAGAAACCCTTAAAAGCCATCAGAAACCATGAGCAGAGTGACATTAGAACATTATTTTTCTGTAACTCAGCTTTTCTATGATTCCATTCCATTTTAAAGGAGGAGGCTCGGGAATGCAGCTCAGATTCTTTCTGGGTTAATGAGAGACCACTTGAACACTTCAGGTTTTCATTCTACTTAAAAAATTCACACCATCATCCAACACTTTGTTTAACCAGTAAAAGTCCATGAAATTCACCTTTTTGAGCTGTTTCTCTTCTCTCCCTAAACCCCCCAGGGATGACAACAGCACCAAACCCATTTCCTCTCCAAATCTTCCCCGCTGAACAAACCAGGGAATCTCTCCCTACACTCCTCCAATTGTTTATTCAATCATTTAATCACCACCTTGGTAAAATTATCCCAATAAAARTAAACACAGGCCTGGCATTCCCTGCTGCTGGACCTGAGAAAAGTTATTTTGTACATTTTGGAGGATCTCCTCCAATCCATCTGTAATGACAGCAGTATGGAATTCATGGATCACCTGGACAGGTGAGCCACAACATTCCGGGGTTGGAGCAGCAGGGCAGGCTGTGAAAAACTTCCAATTATTTGGAAAAGTGACAAAAGAGGTGTGGGCATGTCCGAAAATGAATGAATTTTGTTCATGAGGAGTGTGTGGAAGWCAGCARGAGCAGRAAGTGTCCCAGGAAGGAGGCCAGGGTGGTGTTGTCCAAGAAAAGGGAGCTATATTTTACTTTACCCCTGCTTTTTTTTTTTTTTTCTCCCAGGAAAAGGGAGCTCTGTTTTCATTTATCCCTGTTTATTTTTCTCCCAGGAAAAGCAATTTCTGTTTTAGTTTACCCCTGTTTTTATTCCTTTATTTCAGTAGGTGGCTTTCATCACGAAACGTGCTTTCACTGGGGTAAACCCAAGTTTGGGTAAACCCAAGCGTGCTTTTCATGGGAGTAAACCCAAGTTTAAGCAGCAGTGGTGTAAAACGATCATTTAAAGGCATTTGCAAGGGGACAAAGACAGGAAAATCCCATTTGCAAGGGGTCAAAGACAGGAAAATCTCCCGAGGAGCCACGTACCTGCTTCRGGACTGCTCTGATTGCAGCTGCTGCCGATGCTGTTGGGGATCACCGGAGCGGAGGGCGCCTGCATTCGGGCCTGAGCTGGGGTGGGATGGAGGGAGTTTCCTAAAGCCATTCCTGCCTGCGGGAGCATCCCGCAGCCCCCGGCCGCCTGCATCTGGTTGAGGAGCCCCGGCAGGTGCGCGGGGGGCGCGGGGCCGAAGCCGGGGGTGCCGGKGGTYCCGGGGGTACCGGGGGCACAGTGCAGCCCCTCCCCGCGCAGAGCCAGCCCCGGGGGCTCGGCCGGGTGCAGCGGGGCACCGGGGCAGGGCAGGGCGCYGCCGGAGCCCCCGCAGCCCGAGGAACTATTGCTGCTGCCGTGGGAGCTCTGACAGCTCATGGACTGCAGGAGCTGCGACATGGAGCTGATGGGGAAGGAGCTTTGAGTCGGCTTTCGGATCAGCTCGGCGCCGGCTTTGGGAGCGCCGGAGCYGTCCAGCTGCGACTGCCTCAGCAAGCTCAGCACCGTGCTGGGTGGCTGCTTCCTTTTCCTCAGAGGATCCTTCTGCTGAGACATGAGTTTATCTCTCAGCGCCGCCCGGCCGCTCTGGCCCTCCGTGGTGGGCAGGAGCACGTTGGCAGCGGGAGGGAACATGGGGTTTAAAGTGCTGTGTCCTTCGGTGCTGCCGCCGCCGGCAACAGGTCCAGAATTGCTACTGCCGCCGCTGCTGTTACCGGCGAGTTTATTTTGATTTGCTAGCTGTGCTTTGGCTGCTGCTGAGAGTAAACTGCTCGCTGGAAAAGAGGCAGCGTTGTGCTGGTTCAAGATCTGATTTAAAGGCATTCCCAGCAAACCGGGCTGACTCTTCAAGGAACCGCTTCCAGCCGACGCAGCGGGAAAAACTGCATTGTTGGGAGGATTTAATACATTACTCATTCCAGCGATTAACGGGTTAGGGATGTCCTTGTACTGGTTCAGTCCGTCGTGCTTGGTGGAAGGGCTGGAGGGCATGGATGGCCTCGGCGACCCCATCGTCGACCTCGGCGACCTGGGAGGGACCTTGATGCCGCTACAGGACGACTGCGGCCCCACCGGAGGCAGCAAGAAGTTGCCGTGATCGGACGAGGTGGAAGAAGAACGCGATCTTTGGGGAGAAGCCTCGATCCTCGCCATGCCCGAAGCCATCATGTGAACGGGGGATGTCACCGGTGACGGTGACAGGGACGTGGAAGCCGAGTGCTGAACCCTTTGGACGTGAGCGCCGTGGTTCACGTGGGCGGGTTTGACGGTGGGCAGGGGAAGGTTGCTGGGCAGGGGCACCACGGCGGGGGGCATGCTTACATTCATCACGGGTACCTGAGAGTGGACACTCGAGTGGAACGTGGTGGGGTTCATGATCACGGGGTTCTGGTTCGCCGGTTTGCTGGGAATGGGGTCCAGGATGCCCAGGGGATCCTTCTCGGATGGCAATGGCTTTTTCTGCAGAGCGCAGGAAGGCGGCGGAGGGGGCGGGGGAGGGCCTTGCGGTGGGGGTGGTGGTTTGTGGTGGAACATCGCTCGTGGCATTTCCATCCCGGCCGAGAAGCCGCACAGGGGCTTCTTCATCACCGGGCTCTTGGTGCTCAGGGTGGGGGACAGAGGTATGTTAGTCCTTCCGGCCATGGCGCACGACGACTGGATGGGAGAGCCGTGCAGCATCACCGACGGCGGCGACAGCGGCGTCCTGCCAGCGTGGATGGGGCTGGAATTGGGCGCTCCGTGGAAACCTGGATTGCTCCTGGCGAACACCTCGGGGCTGCCCAGCGGGTCCGTCCTGGGCGACACGGAGCCGTCGCCGTAGATCTGAGATCCCGACGAGGCCGGGCTGGGCATCCCGCCGTGGCTACCGCGGTACGGAGACTTCTGGCCCAGTTCATTGCTGCCCAGCCGCTGCCTGGGRTAGGCAGGGTGGAGCTCCGCTTGCTGGCTTCCAGCCATTTCTTGCACATAAAGCCTACCCATGGCATTAGATGCCCCCATCATCAGCTTGAAAGGAGTCTTACATTCCGGCAGCACGGAATTTGTAATTCCTTCGTGCGATTTATTCCTCATCGACCTCGGAGTTGCTGCGCGGCTGGGAACTACCGGCGTTGCACCTGGCGTGGGGAACACACAATAGTTACTGCTTGGAAACCCAAAAAATCCCACGTTTTGGGGCAAAGCTAGCTGCTGAGCTTGGAAATATTCCCAGAATATTCCCAGAAATATAACCAAAATATTCCCAGAAATATTCCCAGAAGCTCAAGAAGCCTTTGGCTAAACTTTTGCTTCGGCAGAAATAAACCCTCAGTCAGCGAGCGGCTGCTGGAACAGTGCCCGTTACCAACTACACCGTTGTATATCCCATATCCTATATAAATATGGACAATTTTAAACCTTTTTCCTTCCCTTTTGCCTTTTCCAGTGCCCTGCACCTCCAGGATGCATTGGCAGGAGGAGCGGGATGGCTGAGGAAGGGAAAAGGAGCCTCTGGCACCATCTATTGAGGACAGGAGGAACAAAGCCCAGCCAGGACTCAGACTCATCTCCCAGGAAAAAGGTCCTGTCCCAAATCCCAAATCCCAAATCCCAGATGAGGAATCCGGAATGCCTTCTCTTTGTTTTCAGGATAAAAACCTTTGGTATGTTTGCACGCCATAGAAACTTGTCTATAATGGAAAAATTCCCTGTAAATCCCACTTTTGAGGCTGCATCTTCCTACAAGCACAAGACCATTTTCCATCTTTATTTAAATTGTTTTTTTTTTCTCGATGTTTTACTTCCAGCCTAGAACCACAAGCAACTCCAAGTCTGGGGGACTTTCTGCCAGTTTTTGCTGCTCTGGGAATTTGCAATTCAGCTGGCAGCGCTTGGCATCTGGAAATGAAAATTCAACTGAAAATTCCGTGTTCGAATGAACTCAGAATGAAATGAAATTCCTCTACACATCTTTCCATCAGGATTGTCAGAAGGGAGAAACAAACATCTCACCTGTCCCAAAATACAACCAAAGTTTCATTTAGGGCACAAAACTAAAGGCTGAAGTACAAAATAAAATAATTGTGAGAGGCCTCACCTTGAGTGCKGGAAATAATCAAATGGTCACATAAAAATGTGTAAAATGAAGAGATATTTTGTTTATGAAGGGATTTGTTGGGGAATTTTCTTGTTTGTTTATGCACAAAATTCTGACCAACAGAGAAAGTAAGAGCACATAAATTACCTCCTTCATTTTGTTATTGTTTTGGAAACAGGAATGTAAWTTAAGTACTCCTCATTAAAAAAAAWTAATCAGGGAAATGCCCARTAACTYGGGAAATTGCACCGTTAGTTAAAACCAAAATTACACTGAAAGGAATTTTAAATGATGGTTTTAAATCCTAAATTTCAATGTGAAAATGCAGAGGCCCATCAGTGCTATGAACAGCACGGGTATTTTAGCATTGTCTGCTTATCTAAAATTTATTATTTCTTGATTTTCTTATCATTTTTCCACTTTGAAATGAGAAGAAAACTGGCCAGGTGTATCACAGCAAGGAGGGGTGTGGGAGAGCTCTCAGGCCTTTTCCCCAGAGCTGCAATATCAGGGTACAAAAATATCAACTTATTGATATCAAATATCAGCACCCTTCCCTCCTTTGTCCTACCCACTGGGATTTATAATTCTCCTACAATTCTTGGATCTTTATAAAGTCCCAAATTTTGGGTGAATTTCTGCCTTTGGAGCTGTTTCAGTGCTAACTTTCAAGGAGCCCTGCCCAGGTTTACAATGAATTTTGATTTTTTGTTTGGAGAATACCTGTCAACTCCAGCCACCAACAAATTCCATCATTTTTTTTTTTTTGTTGATGACGATAATTAAAACTCGAATCCAGGTTGGTGGCCAAAAATAATCCTTGAGAAATGACAGTGGAGATCCCCTCTCGCCGTCGATTCTCCTTCACAATACAATTTCCCATTTAGCCAAGTCCTCAGCCACATCCTAATCCCTTCATAATCACTTTATTCTGCTCCTCTAATTTCCCATGTGACGGAATATCAGACTTATTACTACAGTTCCAAAAGATGAGAGCTAATGTGTTTTCTTTGTCTAGAACAATCTGATATCTTCCCCAAGAAAATCACGCTCTGAGTCTG